TTAAAGAAGCTATACCCGATTTATTTTCTATTGAGTTCATGAAAATGTGTATTACATACGAGTTGTATTAGAATCCGTAATTTAATTGAAAACTTGAGCTCATTGATTCAGCTGTGTATGAATTCAGGCCGTACAAAGTGCTGAGTAGAGGCTCTCGCCCAATCACGAAATACATTTTTTAAAATCAATTTGTTCCTGTCTGTGCTCTGTTTCCCCTACCAATTATCATGGCAACTATTGCCACGACAACGGTCACCATGGCAACTGTTACCCTGGCAGCAATTGCTAAGGCGACTGTTACCATAGCAACTGTAACCATAGTGATGGTTAATGAGTATATAAGTGTACATTGACAACGGCTGACATGGCAGCTATTACCATGTCGATGGTAGCCGTGGCAACTGTCACCATGACAACAATTGCCATGGCAACTGCTGCCATGTCAGCGGTTTAGTGTCCTTTTCTACCAGATAAACCTCTGACACGTCCTCATAGCTTTTGAGTTAGTTGCAGTTGCCATGGCAGCATCACTATGGTAACAGTTGCCATGGCAACTATTGCCATGACAACAGTTGAGCGAGAGTGAGACACAACACAAATACACACAGACACACACACACATGTAACAGATAAAACTGTTACATTGATCATCAGGTAAAGATATGAAAACATAAACACAACCAGTTTTATTGCAAATATTGTGTTTCCTCAGTGTTGGAGCCCAAGCATTCCATGGCTTCCTGAGAGTGTATGATTAAAAAAGTGTGACATGTGCTATATGTGGCAGTACGGGGCCACCAGGGGGCGGTAATGTGCAGGCTTTAAAAGCCATTGGCCTGTCTCCTTCGGTCTTGGCCGGCACACTTCCTGGTCCGGTGTCGTGAACCCCCGTGTTGCGCCGTGTTGCCCCACAGGTACAGTTTTGTGGTTTTCCTTAGAATCAGGGATAGAATCTTAGAATCAGGCATTTAGCTAATCGTTACTTTTTATTAGCCATGTAGGATGGGGATGTCTGCCATCCCACCGCAGCTCCTGTACAGTGCAGGTGTGGAGGGTGCGTCAGCCTCCTGCACTTTACTTGTGTAGTGAGCTGGCGTGAGCTCCCTATTGAAAGTAGGGGGCGCAGTATAAAAGCCTGTCAATTGCGCTACCTTGCCTCTCCTCTATCCAACTTCATATCCGCTGTATGGGGCTCGGAGCGAGGCAGGCTAGTTGGGATGTTGCTAGGGGTCGTGTCGGGGCGTCAAGCCGGCGGCTGAGGCTTAAGGCCAGCAACTGGGGGTGCCCAACTTGACTGCGTCGCTGGTAAGCTCCGCTCGTAGCTTTTAATTTCGCCGCTGGTCGGCTGCGTCACTAAACATAACTATTGTTTTCTGCTTTGTGTGCGTTGGCCTGGCTACCGCATAGCTGAGCATGGGTAGAGGCTCGGGGTCTCGGTATGGTGCGGGGAGCGCTACACTTTGCTTTCCGGTATGTCGTGTTTTAATCTTGTGTATGTCTTATGTTTCAATGTAGTAAATGTCATTTTATTTTGGTGTCAATGTTTAATGTTGTAGGGTGCTGTCGGCGTGCCTGCCTCCCCTTCTTGTTTGGAGAAAGACTGCAGATGAGTCACTATTTGTTATTAAAGACTATGCTGCTTAACTATGGACAATGACCGAGAGACTGTGGTCAGTGCGCAGACGTGCGCCCTGTGGAATCAAGAGACCTGAACAAGGACTGATGTACAGAACCTATTTATTTGAGCCAAAGCTGCTCTATTAAAAACTAAACGAGTGTTGTTAAACTTCTGCCTCTGTCCAGTCAATTTAAACTTACCTGTGTGCCTTAGATCAGAGAACCAATTAAGGACATTGTTGGGTATCATATGCCCTGGCGTTGCTGGTTATATATGTATGCTACCTATTGTCACATTTGGCGTTGCTGGCAGGATTAATTGCATAAGGACATTGGCAGAAGTTCTGAATTAAATGTGTAGTAATGGATCAATTTGGGTGTGAGCCTATTCCAACATGGTCCGCGGTCACAATCTGGCTACTCTGCTTTATCAGGTACATGGAGAGCATGTCAAACCCTGTCCGGTGTGTTTTATTTTTGCAGTGTGTATTTGCATGTAGTGTTGTGTGCTGTATCATACAAATGTTTTAGGACTTGGGACATAATGTGCAACATGTAATGGTAATGCCATGTGCTAGTGTGCTCCTGCAACTGTAAAATGGCCCATTTGTGAAGATGCTTTAGCACCACCGGTGAACGTGTTTTACAAGAATGAATGACCATCATAGCAGCTACAGTAGTAGTAGTAGTAGTAGTACACAATACAATACAATACAATTTATTCTTGTATAGCCCTAGGTCACAACAGAAGTCATCTCAGAGACTTAACAAAACCATTGAAATCACCAACACAGGTCAGAGAATCAACAGTTAAAACACATGGAGAATATAAAGCACACACAGAAGAAAATGTCCATACATGTTATAGAATGCTAAAGTGTCCTGATCATCACCAATCCTTTCTGTTGGACACTAACTGTCCAACAAGACCCTCCTGCATCGACAAGGAAAAACTCTTAAAAAACCCAGTGGGAAAAAGTGAGAAACCTTGGGGAGCACTAGGGAAACCCACAGGGAGGGAGACCCATATGAGAAAGGGATCCTCTCCTCCGGACGGACAGGCTAATGATCCAGGACCTAAGCTAGCTACAGAACGTGGACCAGTGGCCGCTGGACAGGTCCTGAGCCGCGACTCACAGCTCCTGAGCCGCGACTCACAGCTCCTGAGCCGCGACTCACAGCTCCTGAGCCGCGACTCACAGCTCCTGAGCCGCGACTCACAGCTCCTGAGCCGCGACTCACAGCTCCTGAGCCAGTGGTTAACGAACATGAAGAGCTATATAAACACATACCAGATGATGAAGAGTGTGTAACATACTGATTACTTGTAAATATATGCCTCCAGATCCACAATGTGTCATTAATAATCCACAGATACCCCTAAAAAGCAAAATTGATAACCGGGCCGTGGCTCAGAGCGCCTGAGTCACGCGAGTCACCGGAATATGCCGTGAGTCGCAAATCGTGCTTGCTCTTTCTGCAAATATGGGCGAGTTCTGCTAATCTCCCGGTCTCCGTGAAGTCCCATACGCTACTGAGCACAAGCCATTCATTTGAATAGGGCGCCATCTTGGATCACCGGGGCTTGAAAGAAGTATTGACACAAACTTAATTTTGATATTTGTTTTCTTCAGTTAGACAGCAAAAAATAATGTCATGTTTAAAGCTGTAATTGTTTCCGTTTTAATAAATAAAAAAATCTTACATCATGGTTGTGTTTTTTCTGTATTATCACATATGGTCCACGCTTTAGATTAGGGTACTGCAAAATAGTGTAATAAGCAGCTTATTAACATATTTATAGGCATATTGTTAGTGGCCTATTAACATGGTATCAATACTAGTTTAATAAGCAGCTTATTCATATATTTATAAACATATTCCTCCTTTAATAAGCATCTTACTAATTACTTATTAAATGCTTAAAAGCATATAAATAGAACAACAATTTGGAGAATAGTGAAATGAGCAGGTTTTTAATGTTTATAAGCACATACAAGCAAATTGTAAGCATGTTACTAATGCCTATTAATACCTTATTAATACTTAACAAGCACACCTCAATATAAAGCGTTACCTCTTTATTTACAAAACTTCAACAAGTCCCACACACACTAATGTCTAAGGTTTGGAAGTGCTTTGGAAAAGGGAACTCCCAGGAAGCTGCAGGAGCTTATAGGCGGGGCCCAAAACAACACATGTAAAACACATGTGACACTTTATACCTTTATACTTTCATAAACACATTTCTAAACATTTGACCCACTCACACATCCTCACAGTTTCAGTCTGGACTCTTCCTTTTCTGGTACTTGGTCTTACTCATAGTAATGTCACTGGTGACACATGTGTATCCATAGCAACATACATGTTACATAATAAGTGACATCATTTTACAGTAATTAACCTGAAATTAACACAATATCTGCAGCGAACAATAAAATACTGAGATTAAAACCATCAATAGTTAAACGCAGGTTTGCATTCTTCATTTCTGGAGCTAAATCATTCACATAAATTGCAGATAAAGTTGGAGAGAAGACAAACAGCCTCAGATCATTCACTGCTCACAGGCGAACAGAGCCTTGTGAAGGGATTTTATACATTTATACAAATATCCAGTAATGCTACATTTAATTCACTTCTATTCAGAAACTGTTTATCCAATCAAAGGCTTCAATCATCAAAACAAAGTAGTTTAGTTTTGCTGCAGTCTGGCTCGCACCACAGAGGACAGAACATAGATGTGCTCAATGCTCTGTTCTTCCTAAATCCATTCTGCTCATCGACCAATATCTGATGTTGTTGAATGTTTAGATCCAGAAAACAATGATTCTACTGCACTTATCAGGCTGCTTCCTCTGCTTCAGTGGATTCTCTGCTGGAGAAGATGGGGGATAGGCTTCATGCTCACCCTCGCCGCCCTTCTTCCCTGAACGTGTTTTATCACAAACACAGAAGGAAAATCCAGCCACAGACGACAAAAGGACTAAGACAAGCTGCAAGAAGAAAACACACTTTATCCAGCGTTCAAAAAGAAAAGAAGAAGTGAGGAATCTGAAACAGCAAACACAAATATAAACATACATGAACAACATGATTGGGACGTGTCATAAACAACACGACTGTTGGCTCTTGGAGGAAACAAGGAAGTAGAGGAAAGGCCTGTGGAAGGAAGTGAACACTGTCCTCAATAAAGCATCAGAAGACAGACTCTGCCTCAATACTGTGGAAGTCATGGAGCAGAAATAACACACATGAAAGAACTAAACTACTGCTTTATCCATGTGGGGCCAGAGCTGCAGCAACCATTCAAAACAACAACAACTCTCACAGGTTCTGAGTCCAACACTGAAAAAGAAGTCCTAGACATTGTTCAAAGCATGAAAACAAAAAGGTCACAAGATCGAGACGATGAGTTTGACGTCTGCACGACCAAAGAAGTCATCAGTGACATTTCCCGGCCCTTTGGCGTCTGCTGCTGTCGGCGCAGACAGATTTGCGCATGCGCGCTTTGACCTACCGTATTTCCTCAACTAATTGCACTTTCGAAAAAAATCCACCTGTGCCTTTAAGCAGAGCCATGGGCCTTTCTAAATAACACTCTCAGCATTACGGTAATGTGTTTGAATGATGCAAGCTAGCCAACCAATCACGTGTAAGAATTCGCTTGCCCCGCCACCCCCATAGCAGCACACAGGGGGAAGGAGTTGCTTGACGACAGATGCGAAGGAGAAGAAGAGCGATATCAGTTTGGAATTTTAGCAGCATATTTATAGTTAGTGGAAGATTTACGACCCTTGGGATCATGTCAAGGCAATCCGTGCGGGTACACAAAACACCGCGATAGCTGGCAGAAGGCTTTGTGGTGGAGGGCAGCGCGACGGAGAAAGTTTTAGAAGCAGCACCTGGCAGGGATCCGCCACCGTTGCCTTCCCAGTAAGTACTATCAAAACATTATCCATTGTTCATAGTAAAGATTACCGTTAGTGTGTAAATTATGCTTGCATGGGTTAGTAATATTTGTAAAATACAGTTATATTATGAGAGGGCGGGGGAAAAGTACGCGTTTGCAGCACGCTGTCTGTCTGAGCGCGCTGACAATTTCTAGTTTTGAGAAGCGCGGTGTACTATATTTATACAGAATCAGAAACCTTTACATTTGCATAGTTAGTAGCAAAACCCTCTTTTCGGAGATAGTCTCCTGCTGATACTAGTGAAATATGTTTGTAGCTTTGGAAATTCATGTCCCATGGAGTAAATACATTTAGTTTTGACAATGCTGTTGACAGTATTACCATTGAAAATAAAAGTAATCACTATTAGCTTGTTCATGTGCAAATAATATAATAGTGGACTTAGAAATGGTCTTTCTTTCCTAAATAATAAGAGTACATCTGCACTTATACTGTCCTTTTCTTTTTATTTATTTACTTCTACAGTGAAACTTGCAGTGAGATATACTTTTTTTGTCTGTGATATTCCTACACTTTTGCCAATATTGTTATTTCAATTGTAACATGAGTAATGTTCATTTTTAATTTTTTTGTAACTGTAGGAGTTCTGAAGAGGGCTCATCTAGTGGCCTGCCACACTGCCACTCCAGGTTTAGTGGCCACATGTCTGGAAATGGCACTTGTGGGAGTAGGGTGCCCTACAGTTCAGCGTCCAGTGGAAGGCAGCGGGAGCAGTCGTCTAATGTCAGGAGGTCTGCAAGAGTGCCCAAACCACAGCGACGACTGATAGAGCAGGGTGACGCTGTGATCGAGGGCGTTGAGGAGAGTGGGGCTCTTAGTGGGGGAGAAGCCAGCCTGCCAGCATCACCTCACTCTGAGTGAGTATATTTGAATCAAAATAAGATCACAACTGCACCTGTCTCTGCTTTTTATGTATTTTTACAAGTGCAGACAGATTTTTATTGCTATTGTAAAACATGTAATGTTTATTTTTATTATTATTTATTTTTTATTAGGAGTCCTGGAATGGGGTCAACAGAAGGCCAGCTTCGTGGCCGCCCCAGGTTTAGGGGACGGGGATCAGAGGGTGCCACTGCCCGAAACCGGTCGCCACACAGTCCAGCTTCCAGAAGGTGGAGGAGTGTGGAAGAGCCCGATGTTCCACCGCCGAACTTCAAGTTCACCCCGAGGCGAAGGCCTGGCGTTCAGGCTCCTCTAAACACTGGGTCACCCACACCCCTCAATATTTTTTCAAATTTTTTTGATATTGAGGTTTTGAGGCTACTGTGCAGAAACACTAATCTGAATGCTGCTCGCAACAAGACTCGAGGAAAGAAATATAAGTGGACGGACATCAACACTGAGGAGATGAAGAAATTTATTGGCGTTCGTCTCTACATGGGTGTCGTAAACTTACCAAAGCTGACAGACTTGTGGCGAAAACACAGCATTTACGATGTTCCTTTTCCCTCTACCGTCATGCCCAGAGACAGGTTCAAGGCCATTTTGTCCAACTTGCACATCAGCGACCCAGGAGAAGATGCGAGCAATGAACTGGCCAGAAGAACTGAGGAATTTGACCCTCTACACCGTGTCAGACCTCTCCTCAACATGATTCGGACCCGCTGCATGGCGGTCTACCATCCGGACCGGCACATTGCTGTCGACGAAAGAATGGTGGCCACCAAAGCACGATTGTCATTCAAACAATATATGAGGGACAAGCCGACAAAGTGGGGACTAAAGTGGTTTGTCTTGGCAGACTCCAATGGGTACACATTGGACTTCCAGCTCTACACAGGAAAGTCTGCAGGCAGTGGAAAGGGACTGTCTTTTGATGTTGTGGCCTCATTGGTCAACAAAGCCTATCTGGGCAGTGGTTACATTGTCTATTGTGACAATTTTTATACAAGCCCTTTGCTCTTTCGTCATCTTGGGCAGCTGGGGTTTGGGGCATGTGGGACATACAGGCAGGGAAGGGTGGGTGCTCCAAAAGACCAGGAGAATGCCTTGACGAAGAGATCACCACGTGGCACCATTCGCTGGATAAGGGATAGGGACCTTCTCTTTGTGAAATGGATGGACACGAGAGAGGTTTCGATCTGTACCAATGTTCACAGTGTGTACAGTGGAGAGACTGTGATGCGCTGGAGGAAGAAAGAGGACGGTACGTATGAGAAGGTCCCCATTCCCAGGCCGACCGCAGTGGGAGAATACAACAGCTACATGGGCGGTGTAGACACATCCGATCAGATGCTGGGCACGAACTCTGTCCACAGAAAAACTCGGCGGTGGTATATTACCGTGTTCCAGCACCTGTTGGACATTGCTGTGACCAACAGTTTCATCATTGCCAAGGAGCTGTCAAAAACCCGCAGTGAGAGACTGCCCACCCGACAGGACTTTCAGGAGGAGCTTGCAGCAAGTCTAATTGGAGTCCCCCGCAAGACACAGCCACGAAAGCCCCTGGTCTTGACCAACCACTTTGCTGTCCCCACCAGCTCAACACAGTCCAAAAATCAAAGAGCCAGCATGGGTCGACGTCAGTGTGTGCTCTGTAAGCGCAGCACTCCCTGGAAGTGTGAGGACTGCGATGTTGGGCTTTGCCTGCAGCTGGACAGGAACTGTTTTCGCATGTATCACATGTCTGAAGAAGCTGAGCAATAGTTTGTGAATTGTCGTCCAGGAAATCATATGGTTTGAATTGTCGACTGGACTGAGTTGATTGGGTGAGGATGTTTCACTTCTATCTGCAGAAGCTTCTTCCTAGCTCTTGTGGTCAGAAAATCACACAGAACGTGTGACTTTCTGACCACAAGAGCTAAGGAGAAGGTTAGCTCTTGTGGTCAGTAAATCACACAGATTGTGTGGCTTCCTGACCACAAGAGCTAGGCTTTGTCTTAGCTCTTGTGGTCAGTAAATCACACAGAACGTGTGACTTTCTTACCACAGGAGCTAAGACAAAGCTTTTGTAGATAGAAGTGAAACATCCTCATCTTTAGTCAATCAACTCATTCCAGTGTGATGTGATGTCATAGCATGACAACATAATGTAGTTTTTATACCAACAAATAAGTGGCAAGTCTGCTTTGTTGTTTTGCTACCCAGTTGAGGGTGCCAAGAATGAAATGGATGTAAATATGTATATATAAAGCCATAAGCAGGCCTTCAATGTAAATTTGTTATTTTTTCAGTCTTTTTATTGAAAGAATCCTTTTTATGAATTACTTTGTTATGTAATATCTTTCATCTTACCTTTTATGACTTTGATTTTGTACATAGTTGCATAGGGTGTCTTTTTACCTAAAAAACGCCTAACATTTTCCTCATAAATAAGATTGTAAAAAGCTGTTCATAGTGTTCAAAATTGTCATCTTTTGTACAGATGTTCATTGTGGTTCAAACAAAACATTATTGTGCTCTTGAGCTAATCAGGATGTTTTTTGTGTGTTTTCTGGAGTAAAGTAAACTAAAAAGCATTTCCGTTTTTTGTTTTCTCTTCTCTTCAAATTGATATTACACCTTTTATATTATGAAGTACTGAAAAAGCAAAGCTACCTATGTGAAGAAGAGTTAGTTATGAGAAAAGGGTCAAAATTTCATGTGGATATCTCTTGAAACATGTTTTTTAATGGCTAAAAAATTAAAAATCTCCAGGCGAATCATGATCATCAATAACTTGCTTAAGCTAACGTTCTCTACTGGATCATTCCCATGTCTAATGACAACTGCAGAAGTCAGACTCATTCACAAACCAGGAGACAAACTGCTCTAACTAGAGCTCAACTATCTTATCTCTATGTTCCAAAATACTGGAAACGCTCTTTGTAAATAGAATGGAGTCATTTATTGAAAAACACAACATCCTAACAATCAATATGGATTTAGAAAGGACAAATCAACTGAACTTGCATTATTGTCTGGACTAGTTTTCCTCCTTTGATCTTCCTTCATGGTCCCAAACAGACGACATATTTGTATTCATCAGTTCATTTCTTTGAATGAGGGCAGTACATATGAATGTGTCAAACTGCTTCAACATCAAGATGCTGGAATTAGCACAAAAGCTAAAATGCATCCTTTGTCCTAAAGCGGCAGAAGAAACACATGTTTAATATATATGCTCTGTATGTTCATGGGGAGGCTGCACCTTTTTACTTCTTTCTCCCTTTAGAGCCCACCACTTGGAAACACAAATACATTTGTACAAACACATTGAAATTGTAAATATGCTTCAATAGTTTGTATCTGCAGTTTAGTTCAGAATAATAATGTCCCACTCTGTCTCCTTCTTCATCACATGTCAGTTTGAATCTTAGACTTGATGCAGCCGGTGACCATTTTTTTAAAACCAATGCTCTGGGAAACGGCAGTAAGTCTAAGCGCTCTGAAACAGTTGTTTTATGTGCTTTACTAATTTTTATTTCTCTTGCTTTTTTGATTCCTTGAATTTTTCTCCAAAATCCACTGGAGGAATGCAACTTTTTGGAAAATGCTAATGAGGCATTTAGCATTTTACTTTGGACTAGGGCAGAGTAAATGGTCCGAACCAAGTGGCTGCTCCACCTTGTTGACCTGTCCGGCTTCCACCCCTGAGACTACTCCACCTCTGCGGCAGTGACCTGGATGGACTGTTGGCGATTATTTCTATTATCTCCTTTAGAATGGTCAATTTTATTTTTTATTTTTGCTGCTACAGAACACCAAATTTCTCCTAACTATCCTAACTAATTTCTATCTAACTTTTTATAAAATGCATGTTGTACGTCCTGCCCTTTCAGTTCAACACAACATTCAGTTTCACTAAATAAAAACCAGGGGCCGGTATACCTAAAGGGTTTGTTCAGACAATTAAAGTTTGAAAAATGATTTTAAAGCATTTCTGAATTTTGGCTAAAGGTGATATTGGATCATTTCTGATAACACATAGACGCAACACTGTTCATTGGTTGAAAACACGGATGTAGAGACATTTTATGAAATCTTTTATGACATGTTTCTCTTCCAAATAGCTAAATTAGAAACAATTAGGACAATTATGTCTTTGATAACTGTTGGCAGTTTATCTGAGACATGATTGGCGCAAGTACACACACATAAAACAATGGTCTTTTCTCCACATGAACGTGAAACAAAGGTGAAGTATTAAAGTTTGAAACTAATTTACATTTTTAAGGAATCCGAACTGGCTTTAAAAAAAAAAGGGAAAAACATTTATTGCACGTGCATGAGTTTTTTTTTAAGTAACAAGAGCTCATTAAAAATATAGGGGACACAGTTTGTGACAAGCCCGAGTAAAGACCACGTGGTTTAAACACTAAAGTTTGAAATGGATCCTTTTAGGAAAAATCTCTCAAAGCTTTGCATGTTCTGCAGGCTCTGAAAGTTGCAACAATAGAAATAGCTCATGAGACAATTGTAATTGGACATGGAAAAATATAACAAAGTCAAATTACAGGCCTTCTGTGTTATATGTTTGTGTGTGCTATATGTTTGTGTGTGTTATATGTTTGTGTATGTTATATGTTTGTGTATGTTATATGTTTGTGCGTCATGTCAATTGCACTACGTTGACCTTAACAAACTCTGGACCAAAATACTAACGTGGGGAATCGGCCTGTGTGAGTGATGCGAGTGTGGAGTGAAATGAGGAGTGAACGAGGAGTGCTGAACGGAATCATGGAATAACAAAAGTTTTCTGTAATGTTTTAATGTGATCATGGAATAATTATTTTTTGTCAACAGCATACGGTGTAAGTACTATAGATTCAAAGATAACAAGCTTTATTGAACAGGTGTAAAAGTGAGAGTACTCTGGGATGAGTACTCTGAGAGAAGTACTCTGAGAAAGTACTCTGAGATGACATACCTTGCTGAAGGTACTGGGAGTCCCTCCCTCTGCTGTTTGTCCGGACAGTGATTCGGTCCAACCGCAGTGAGCTGTCGTGGGTTGAAGGACAACTTTGGTTTGTAATTCACATTTAGGGGAGTATAAAATTAGAAACATACATATTGTTAAGTCTGTATTCGGCTACAGCCTCTGCCCTGATGTCACACACCGTCTGTCAATGCAGTTATGTTTTGCCCAATTGGATTGATTGACAGGCTGCACAATGCGAAGAGGGGGAAGTGGGCGTTTCTTGTGTTCTAATGTTTGTTTTTCAGATGAAAGATAAACTGCACCTGCTTCAGGGATGACAGTAGTATGAATTAAGGAAATGAGCCTCTACTTTGGCACCAAAGCCCACAATATGAATTGAGGACGATCCGGGAGGAACAACAGGATTGGAACAGTAATCTACACACATACAGATGCATGTTTTATACTTTGGACCACGACCAACAGAGGGGAGTATTGTATTGTCATAGGTGGTCATGGTCCTTAACCTTCTAAATCATTAGAAAGAAGTGTAAAACATATATTTACAAGAACAAATAAATAATAGAAAGGGCAGCCTAAAAAAGCAAAATGGGAAAATTATTAAGTAATTTTCGGAGTTGCCAAAATGAAATAAAATTCTATATTTGTCCCATAGGGGGTCATTCTAAATTTAGTGTTGTGCAAATTCAAAAGGAGAAATAATAGCGCTTATAACATCAAACAGATCTACTCTTTAAGATAATAGATCATATAATAATAAGATAATAATAGAATAGAATGAAATAGTCTGGAGCTATAATGTCATTGGATTCAAGGAGCTATAGGTTGAAAGGTCGCTAGGAAGAGGTGTCAGAATAAACAATAGTAATAATAGTTAGACTAGTGAATAATCAAAATAGTTCTATTGTGGAAATAAGTATCAATAAGGTCAAATTGTTCTAATAACTAAAGAAAAAGGAATCAAATGGAGTCAGATTTTAGATGTTTCTGTTTTCCACATCTGTAGGAACTAGTGCAGATGTGTTTATAGAGAGTAGTATTAAAATGCAGACATAGAACAACAGGCTTTAACACAATTTTAAATCTAAAAATAGCTCAAATATAACATTGCTCTTGATGCAGCCTCTGAGCTGCTCCATTGGAGAACAGGTTAAATGTTATTGTTTATTACAAACAGCTGATGTATTTACACATATTAAGTTTGGGACAACTCTTTAAACAGTTATAAGCAGCGGACAGAAGCCATGAATGTGCTTTTGTTTATTAAATAATTAAATGCATAGCCTTATAATCGTAGAGAACGTTTTAAAATAGTTAAAATCCCTTTCAGGCAACTTGATTTAGATGTATGTCTTTAATATTGGAGAACGACTGTGTTGTTTTTGGAATTGTCTGAAATACAATACATAGAATAGTGATTTGCAGAACAAGAACCAGCCAATGAAAAATCATCTATTGCCAATGCAATTGTTACAATCAGAACTCACAAATTGGGAATATGCTTTGGCTCAAACTACAACCAAGATTTGGAGTCACAATAGAGTGTAAAATAGATAGATGCTTTCAAAAAAAAAAAATAGAGATTATTTTTAGACAGGGTTAATATCAAACGGTAAAAAGACCATTTCCTTCATATTATGTCCAAAAGTAGTTACTTCAAAAGTAGATAAAGTTCATGAGTGTAGCCTAGATTAATGTAGTGGAGTCGCAGTGGAGTCTGGCAGTCATTACCTAGAAACAGAAGGTATACAGGTGAATAGAATAGTGCAAATCAATATGGGTTTGG